ACCATGCATAACCTATACTCACAAACTAAGATCCCACCAACAGTGTTGCCGATAATGACTTAACAATAGCATATTATTTCTCTATTAGCAATTACCAAACTTGAGTAAGCTTCCTAATTTCTCCTAAAACATGCTACAAGGCTCCTAATGAGCTATTGTTCACAGAAGATTCTTTCCTTCACCAGCAACATTTTATTTGTTTTTTAAGTATTACCATTATTACTGCATAATGTATCCATGCTATCTCTGATCCAAAAAACAGGTCGCGTTTCCAGTGATCCAAATAATTAATTAACAAAGCAGCAAGTCTAGCACGTTTAGACAGACATATGTCATAATGTGCACAATTGCCAGACCATTTTCTCATTTTACAGTCAAGCTATCCCTACTTGGGTGTCCCACTTCTTTTGCATAAGATCTTTGATGCTGCCATCCCAAATCCACTTATTTTTCTTAATATAAACAAAAATTATGTTTTTGATTGAAAATGTATATTATTAACATATCTTTGGGTTATATTTGTGCAGAAAATTTCAGCTTAAAGGTCGTAATTTTGTTGTTTTTTGGTGGGTTTTTTACACATCTACTTCCTAATCTTGCATATTAATCTTAAATAGAAAAAAAGAAACATGTTCCTCTGGATTAAAGACAAAAATTAATTGACAGTGAAGAGGACATCTGTTGAAAATCTGAAAATTTAGTTAGTGTGACTGAAGCCATAATACAGGATTTATGGCAAAGATGTAATAGAGGTAGAACATTTGCAAGAATAATGTAACATTTCTTCTGAAATGAACTTACTTTAGTTATGAAATATTGAAGATATACACTCCGCTGACACATGACACAATCACATAATACCTATTTATGACCACCCTCGGTCACAGCGTTATTAAAGTACAATACCAGTTGCGTGGAACTACAGCTACCACATACAGCAGGTGAGTCCGCTATGACGTCAACACTAGCGACTCTACGAACAAGGCCATAAATCAGAGGTATAAAGACATCAGAATACACAGAACATAGAAATGATATTCCGAATTCTATTACAGCTGACCATTGATTTGGTGTTACTTTTCCTATTTGCTTCATCAGGTTAATATATAAGGTAGTCAAACACATTTCATTAAAACCTTTGCAAATGATGTGCATTAACAGGGGAAGAATTTCTCACTTGGCTACTAACCCAAGTCAGTCCTTGTTGAAATATCCCGAGGGGCAGAAGATATTTTAGGGGATACATGGTGTGTCATGTGACTACTGCTCGGGCTGAGAAATGTTTCAGCTTATTTTTACCCTGATCAATATCCAACACAACATCTTCAGATATATAAACCTCAAATTGAGGCAATTAGGACAATTTGCAAAATTGTAATTTTCGCCAAAAAATCATCATCACCATAAGCATTATTGACATGACTGTATAATTTTGACAAAATAAATCAACTTTTGCATTATATTTTATCAACTCAACACGCTCCTCAAAATCTTTAAACTTTCCATGTCAGATTAAAACAAGTGATTGTTAATATTGATTATTAATTTACAAAATTCAGCTTTAGAAATTGGTACCTGTGGTCCTTCCCAAACTGTCCATTAGTTAAGGTATCAGAAACTAGCGGAAATTTGTCATTTTGAAGGGTTTTGCTATATGTTATCGTTATAAGGACTAGTGGACTAGAACCGTGAAGATTCCAGGGTAGAATAGGTCTTCAGCAACCCATACTTGCCGTAAAAGGCGACTATGCTTGTTGTAAAAGGTGACTAACAGGATCGGGTGGTCAGGCTTGCTGACTTGGTTGATACATGTCATCGATCCCAATTGCGTGGATCGATGCTCATGATGTCAATCACTGGATTGTCTGGTCCAGACTCGATTATTTACAGACGGCCGTCATATAGCTGGAATATTACTGAGTGCGGCGTTAAACAACAAACAAACAAACTAGTGGACTAAAACTGTTAGTTTCTACTGCTGAAATTCGTAATATATTTCACCTAACTGCAATGGGGAAAAGTTGGTTCCAATGATCATAATGATTCTGCCTTGATGTAATGGCTGGCATGTGTGATATTCATACAGGTGAACATTGGACCATAGAGAGCCTGTGTTTGAACACTAAAGCCTGCACAATGTCAACACACAGGGAGATGAAGGTTTATGTAAGTGTGACACTAGGAGCAGATAGTACATTGTAGGGACAGAGAAGATCAGGTGTCACATCTCACACCCAACTCAGCCTTAAAGTTCTGGCCTGGTGCCTCTCCAGGTGAAGGAATTATTATCTAGGAAAGTTATCTTGGGTCATACCCACACCGGGTGATCCGGGAGCATATGTATTTGTGACTTGGGAACTCAAAATGAAACACTTGTTACGTGTGTCAATAACGGTGTAGAGGATTTTACAAGCTTAGCGTTAGCGTACCCCCCTCAACCCTGTCTCATGGTCTCAAGCCCCTAGTCCTGCACCATGACTGCGGAATATATTTATTTTATGAAAAAAAATAATCTAGAAAAGCATACAAAAGCAAGTCTAGCCAGCTCTAGCTAGCTCTATTCCACAGCATAGGGAAAAAAATTTATTATTATTTTTAGATTCAAGAAGGACATTGTGTAATATAAGATTTCATAGACTAAATGTTAGTCTATCAAGCCCCCTAAGCTCATGAAAACATGTCCACTCACAACTGACACATGTACTCGTACACCCAGCCCGCCTCAAACCACAGAACACATACACACAGAACAATCACGGGGGTGAAATCCATGCGCTACAAATTACAAACCAAACAGACTGCTAATCACATCTGTTCAGTGCATAATGAGCCATTCGGCATAAGTTGCATCCTCATCAAATACAAGTTACCAATCCTGTTTATTGCAAAAGGGCACATGCATTATGGTGACATATCCCTGAGTGTAGCTCTTGTTTATTTGCTTAATGCTGCAATCAGCAATATTTCAGGTATATGAGTGAGTGAGTATGGTTTTACGCTGTTTTAAGCAATATTCCAGCAATATCATGGCGAGAAACACCAGAAATGGGCTTCACATAATGTTCCCATGTCGGGAATCGAACCCAGGTCTTTGATGTGACGAGTGAACACTTTAACCACTAGGCTACCCGACCATCCCTCCAGCTATATGCCAGTCTGTAAATAATCAAGTCTGGACCAGACAATCCAGTGATTGATATCATGACCATCGATCAATGCAATTGGGATACGATGACATGCATCAACCAAGTCAGCGAGTCTGACCACCCTATCCCGTTAGTGGCCTATTATGACAAGCATTGGTTGCTGAAGATCAATTCAAACCCCGATCTTCGAAGGTAAGTGACATGTATTCCACACAGTTGTAACCCCACTGACAAGTGGGTACGTGAACCAACCCCAAACACTGCTGCAAGAAAGGTCAAAGTGTCAATGGCCTGATATCCATGGCACAATTTTCTGCTCTGCTAATCTTTTTGTCCACTGGGGCATTATCGGTAGTTGACGACAATAAATACCTTCTGGCTCAGCTACTTGTGATTTCTCTTTGGTGGACCAAAAGAATATTGCTTATTCACAAAGGCAATGGTCGTGATATACATAGAACGATGTAAATGGTAGAAAGAAAATACCTTTGGCATAAAAGATACGTTTGTGTAACCATTCTATCAATATTCTGTGGCAGTTCTTGGAACTCAGCTGAAATTGTGTCAAATCCTGAGATCAACATTTTTAATACTTCTCTTAAAAAATCAATTTTAGAAAAACCTGGGTCAAAGAATAATTCTATGTTTTCAGTCCATTTTACGCTAATACTGTGTAAAAGAATGTGTGAAAGTATTTGGTGAATATTTGATTGGATTACTTGTGATACGTATGGCTGATGTGATGTAATGAGTTAATGAGTTTGGCCATTTTGAACAGTATTCCAGTCATATCACGGTGTGTCAGTTTGATGGAGGGAGGAATGCCGAAAGTGATGCAGGACTGAGACGTTTACCACTTCGTTGAAGCCCACAAACAGGGTTATCAAGGTGCTGACATACCTAGAAATATAATCAGGGTGAACCAGGTCTCGACCTCATAATCATTCATAGGGTTCTGGCGTGTCAAAGGGACGCAACTCTGTACAGCAAATTGCGGTGCCTTGGACAACTGGGTCGCCCATGTCCCTGTGACATTATGGTTGCAAAGTAATTTGTTTCGCAATATATGTACCACATTCACTGTAATAACTGCCATGGGAGCTGTAGTACAAAACAACCTTAGCGCTACAACTGTTGCAAGTCTATGCCGAGGTATGGGAGTTACGATTATCTTAGTGCTAAGATCAGTTTGTACAACGGCACGCTTGGCACATAGAAAAGAGGAGGCACTAATTGAAACCTTACACAAGTAAAATTTGTTGTCAGAGATTGAACAATAGTGAACAAAGTTAGTTCAACAGTGAGACTAAAGCAGTTTTACGAGCCGCTTGTCTGAAAAAGAAATCTGCATTATAAACCCACTGGCTGTTTGTGTAACTCGATATGTAGTTTTTGAAATTGTGGTAACACCTCGCAGGAGGGCTTACAACGATTGTAACACCTCGCAGGAGGTTGTCTATGCAATGAGTCGGTTTATAAGTTGGACAAACCATGTCTACACATATACATTAGAAAATTTGGACTAATATACATTAGTAAATATTCAGTCTTAGAAAGGTCACTCATATTACTTACAAACTGATCTGGAAGTTTGTCAGGGGTGCTTCTTGCAACAGGGCGCTTAATACAGCGACTACAGCATTTCAATACAAGAGGGGTGAGGCGATTCATCAACACATCCATGCATCATAATACATCAAGTTACGATACAATTAATATATATCGTAGCTCAAAGTATTATGATTACAAGATGAAATGTTACATATTTAACCGTACGCTACCCTTGTGGTAATGGTAAAATAAATGGTTTGGTTGGTCGTCATTTTTGAAATTCAAAACAGGGAGACAACTCACCAAAATGACTTCGAACCTAGCGTTGACCTCGTCGGTGGTATAACCCTTGACAGTGGTCTCCCACGACGGCTCGGCTTGACTGCCATTCTGATCCTCAATGTACTGTTTGGGATAGCTGGACACACTCTTCTGTTTGTTCCGGTCCTTTCCGAGACGGAAAGTTCCACCAACCTTGTCCAGCTGTGAAGGAACAACAAAAATAAATGTCAGACACCATCAATGACACTTGCTGAAAAATAACAGACGAGAATTCAGATAATCATATTCCGCCAAATTATCTCCTTGACAGAAAAGTTAAATACTGCTTTCTCTTGTCCCACACACCAAACTATCTATTATATAATGGAAAGATTTCCGCCATATTCATTGGCCGAGTAGCTGCAAAATGTCATTCCACAGAAACACATCTTGACTCCAAGTCAGGTTTGATCATGTACGGTATTGCCTTAAGTTACTAAAAATAGAATGGGAATTACCCGGTTTTCCCCAAAACCTAAACCAATCAGATGTCTCTGTTTGTTGGAACCTTCTTATGTCAGTGAAGTTCAATCTGCTCGTGTCTCTAATTATAATAAAACAATCTTAGACCTTTTTCTAAAAGCATAAGTGCTTCCTGCCCATCTTCAAAGTGACCTGCCCACATTCAGACATTACAAAAATTATGAAATCACAATAAATGATAAATAAGAGACAAATCTCATCTTGATTCAGTTGAAATAATGCTAACAATTACTTAGAATCTACAAGAAGTTATGATAAAACTGAATACGTAAGAAGTCTTAAAATTATCTGCCAGACAGTCGGGCAGGTGGAGAAACATTTCATGCAGCCCGACAGAAAAGTTACCTGCCACAGGCAGCAGGCAAGCAGTTATTCTCTGACACTGAGTATATGTCACCATCCATTTCCTCCTTCAGGTTTATATTACAGGAATCAATGATATCGATGAAACAGTGATGAAAAGACAGTGAAACTCAATACTCACTCACTAACTCCCTCACAATCAGACATCAGTTCACAATGTTAGATACTAGTTCAAGGTGCTAATTTGTTTGATCCAGCATGTTTAATGCCCCACTGAGAAATATTACAGCTATATGCAAGAGGTCTGTTAAAAACTGCATCTGGACCACACAAACCAGTGATTGACGTTATGAACAACGTCCACATGATTACAATCAATCTGGTCACCAAGCCTGACCACCCGATCCATTTAGTTGCCTTACGACAGCACAGGTTACAAGGGACTAATTCCAACCCAGAAGTAGTCAAACAACAGTAAACTATGGTTATAACGAATTCAAAGGGACCACTAATTTTAGTTCGTAATAACCGTAGTTCGTTATAAGCATATATACAGCATATATACAACAGATGGCCGGGACTAAAAAATATATTCGTTATATCATGTATATCGGTCAGTTCGTTAAGCGTGTTCGTTATGAACATAGTTTACTGTATATTAACAATATAATAACACTAAAACAAAACCACACAACAATACGTACTGGGGCCCAAATAATATATATTTCTACTGTTGAAAATTGGTACTTCTTCATTCAATAATCCAGACTTCAGATTGCTAGATGTGAGTATGGATCAACAAGACTACCTATTACTATGGCTGGAACGAATACACTATGAGGCGAATATGATTCATATCATGAATATAGGGTAACGAATACAAATATTAATTCACAAATACAATAACAAGTCAGCAGCTGATGTATTATTTGTTATATTCAGTGAAAAGATAACAAAAATTATTTGACATCGTTTGTTAACTATTAATATATTATACATTTATATACTGCACTTTTCCAGGTACTAGTATCTGCTCAAATGCAACAATGACCAGTGATCACAATACTGTCAAATTAAATATTATATGAGTGTTATCTTTGAAGAAATCTATGCATATAATATGTTCTTATGGATATTTTTAGGTACAGGGTATGTGAATGCACATGATTGCATATTCATAAATGTTTGATTCTAGTGGCCACGAATAACGAATTCAATTCATAAATGGATCACGTGGATACGGTTCACCGAATATGCGAGTGAATCGTAACAGCCCTACCTATTACGTCACCAACATGGAATATTTAAACGTAAACACTGTGAAGCGTGTATGGTTTACATGGTTTAGTTAGGAACTCTGTCTATCCAAATGCCTCAAGCTAGTACTTGTAGACATATTTTTTATAATCATATATTTATTCTTCTGTGACTGTATTTGAAGAAATTTAATACACAAGGGTTGTATTGGGATATGTCTATTGCTAACGACCATATTGTAATATATAGGTATACCAGTTATATTGCATACCCCTAGGTATAACTATTACAAATATAGACTAAAAAACAAAATCTTAAGACAGTTTTCACTCGTGCTACTCTTTTATTCACAGATGATAGAGACGCATTTATTTACAGACCACCGTCATCTAGCTGGAATATTGCCGAGTGCAATGTTAAACAAACAAACATAGATGACAGACAAATGGCAGATGCAGTTCTTGTATTGTGCAGACATAACTTGTGCAACTGAAGCAATCATCATGATCATAGTAACCATGGCAACAAATATCAAGTCTCAAACATATGATATGATCGAGATCAATAACTATTTCAAGCTATTTATCATGTAAAGATACTTTCTCCCACTGAAAACTATTTAATGAGAAAATTGAAAACAAATTAAGAGAATATCCTGAAATCCCAAAAAAGTCCCTTCAGGTAGTATTACATTAAAACATATAATGTTCATTCAATCAAAACATCTCACAATGACTTACAGGCAGTCATGAAATCAAGAGATTGATGGATGTTGGCATATAACCATATCATGATGGAATCAAATCCTGATAAATCAAGTGATACCAATATTGAAAGCTGATAATGGTATTATGGATACCACGTGTACTGTACAATGCATTGACACTTGTCCTTTAAGATACACACAACTTTGTAAGTAAATGTCAAAGAGGATCAAGTATTCCTGACGACTTCATCTTTAAAAACAAGACAGCTTGTGGCTGACTAAACTGTCACTTTTCCATGCTTTCCAAGTCCGGCCACAAATATTACACTTAAAAAGCATATGATGTGATGTCGCTGGGGCAAGTTCATGTATATATACGACCACTGGTGGCGTAAGGATGAACAATGGACATTCCTGATACTGATGCAGCGCCCTCTACGTCCAGCTGGAGGTCATTACTGCAGTCACGATGATCGTGTACACCAGACCTTTGGCAAACACTCCCCATTGAGAGGCATTCTCCACCCACACTCAGGAGCATTCCGTAACCTGAAGCTCGGCCATCATAAACCTTTCACGAGGATGAAGATGACGAAAGTGATGATGATGACGATGATGATCATGATGGAACAAAATTGGAAGTAATCCTTTTATCCAACAAACGTCACAGTATTTTGAGTTGCATCCCAGCATGCCAGGTTAACATTGGAGGCAAGCCAAAGTGATGCAAGTCTGAGATATTTAACCACACTCAAACCCACTGGAACATGTATTGTGCTGAAAAACCAAGGATCGTAAAAAGGGATTTTCTTGGATTCAAACCCACAATCACAGTATCCATCTGATCCACATGGGCCATCTGAGTACCCATGAAGGATGGATGGATGAAAGAATGGATGGATGGATGGAAGAATGTAAGAATGTAAGAATGGATGGATGGATGGATGGATGGATGGATGGAAGAATGGATGGATGGATGGAAGAATGTAAGAATGGAAGAATGGATGGATGGATGGATCGAAGAATGGATGGATGGATGGAAGAATGGAATGGATGGATGATGGATGGATGATGGATGGATGGATGGATGGATGGATGGATGGAAGAATGGATGGATGGATGGATGGATGGATGGATGGATGAAAGAATGGATGGATGGACGAAAGAATGGATGGATGGATGATCAATGGACGGGTTGATGGATGGATGGATAGATGGATAGATGGATGGGTTGATGGATGGATGGATGAACCAACCAACAAGTAATGAACAAATCAATGATTCACAGCAAACTACAGTGAGTGAGTTTGATTTTACACCGCTTTTAGCAATATTCCAGCAATATCACAGTGGGGGACACCAGAAATGGGCTTCACACATTGTACCCATGTCAGGAATCGAACTAGGGTCTTCGATGTGACAAGCCAACGCTTTAACCACTAGGCTACCCGACCGCCCCTCCAGCTATATGCCAGTCTGTAAATAAACAAGTCTGGACCACACGAACCACTATCGCACCATAATAATGAACACATTTAAAATTCATTTGACTCTCAATTCACAACAAAATAAAAGTAACCAATGATAAATATAAAAATGAATCCATGAATCCTCTAAATCCCTGCAAAAACAACCAGGCGAACTGTGACGTTAGCCAAACACCAACTTGAAACATCCAAAGAGGTATAGAGAAATAGAAAATGTCCTCAGAAACAAACATACCAAAATATTTTCATTGACGTGAGTGAGTATGGTTTTAAACCGCTTTTAGCAATATTCCAGCAATATCACGGCTGGGGACAGTAGACATGGTAGAAATGGGCTTCACACTTTCATTTGAGAACTTCCCTTGTGTTACACTTACCGCAGCGGACCATTTTAATTTCACACTTGGAATCCTCGACATCAAGAAAACAAATAAAAGCCTTGAAGCTTCGCAGATGAGAACCTCTTACTTCGCAAGGTGTAAATGTGTAAATCCCATTTCGAATCACAACACATATGGCCCGGGTTTCATCACACAATGTTGCATGACGCCGACAACGTATATCCCTTCAAAACCAGAGTCAGAAATTTTGACGCAATATAAAAACACAGCAAGAGTCTACAATCCAGTGTTATCACAAACATTTTGTTTTAAACATTAACCAAACATCCCGACTTGACTTCAAACAGCCTGGTCAAACATGGCCGGCTTGTAGAGTATCCGAGTCGGAAGCATCTCCCAACAGTTCTCGACATCGTCATTTCACAGTGGTTAGAAGGACGTACGTCTTGTATTAATGATGTCCTCATTGCTACCAACGAAAACACAGTGAACACAGTTCTTGCATAGCTAGATTACCACTTCCTGAAGTTTTTACATTTCTTACAAATGTAGGTAAAAACATGATCACGACAGGACCGGTGATTA